AGTCAAGAAAACGGGGTAATTAAAGGAACGATTTATGGTCTTTACACTCTAGCATCCCTTATAAGTAAGCATTTGGGAGTTTTGGGTCTAAGACAAAGTTTGTTCTAGTCATAAAGATCTAAGTACCGCCCAAACTTCACTTCTTTCTCATAAGCGGTTTCATTATTTCATGAGCTTAATGAAATTCCGCTGTCATCGTTAAATACCAGATTTTTTAGGTTTGTTAGTGACTATCGATGAGTAAATTTCTAAATTTTCGCTTCGAGTCTTATTAATTCTTCGATTTTTCATCTCATAGAGACCGTATGTGTCATAAGATAATCAACATTTTTTGGGAATCAAAAGCTTTTGGAAACGTCACAGCTAACATTTTCATCAAACTCACTAAGTTATTGTTCAAGAACACATAATAAAAAATTGGATATTCTAAAGGTAAAAATTCACTTTTTTGTTAAAAATGACCGTTTTTACAGGACTAAGAGTTATAAAACTCTTCCCAGTTCCTTATTTGTATAGTGAGTAAGTAGTTACAAATCTATGCATTACTCATAATAGCAATCCTTTTCTCCATTGTTTCAAAGACAAAATCCAACAAAGGGAAATTCGAATTATTTTATTTTTTAGAATAGTTCATTTTCGGTGAAAGAAAATTTGTTTTGTTCGTTTTGAAGATGACAGTGTCAATATCCTACAAACAACACTGTAAAGAAGTGACTGCCGTTTCCGATGGATTTGATTCAGCAACTTCTTCGAAGAATTATGAATGTCGAATAAACTTTCAAAAACTTGCTTATACCTTTAACGTTGAGCATAGTAGTCGATAAATAATATTATTAGAATATTCAAACGCAAAATTACACCAATTATCGATTGATAGCAATGACGATGAAGATCTTGTCGTTGTTATGTTAAATACAGATGGTTGTTTTCTATGCAGACTTCACAAAAAATATGAATTACATACTGGAAAATGTGTATCTTTGAATTCACTATTAGACAAAGAAAAATGTCATTTTTCTGAGATAGATATTGAAATGGCAGCTATATTATCAGATGCTGTTTATTATGCAGGTCCAATTTCTCATATTAATAAAAACTATTCATCTTAAAATTGTATTTGAACATTAACTGGTTATGAATGTAGATTAAAATTGGCACCTGACGCATCTTCACTATATCTGTTAGCAACGTCCAACAGTAACACTTTTGAAGAAACCTTGTGGGTTGTGTTTCGAGGTACGCGACACATCAATGGTGTCTTAACCGATTTAACTATATATCCAACGTTAACATCATCAAGCATGGTTCATAGAGGTTTTTCAAAACGTGCTTTTGAATTACCCTATCATACATTGATGAATGAATTCAATTCTACGTTTGACAATTGCAAATGTTTAATATTTACTGGTCATTCATTAGGTGGTAGTGTGGCACATGTATGTGCCATATTTAGTTTAGCTAATAACAGTTTTAAAGAAAACCTGCAAATATATATATTATAACATTTGATATATCATTTATTGGTAATAGTATTGTTGCTGAAGATTTAATTGAAAAAAAAATTTAATAAATATTTTTTAACAATAATAAATCAAAATGATATTGTACCAAATTGATTAAATCTTGTTCAAACTGGTACATGTGTTCAATAAAAAATCACATCTGTAATTATTCGTGTAAAGATGTAGCTTTTGTAATCCATTTGATATGAGTATATTACACAAAGAAGTATCCTTGAGAAGATCTATTAAGTTTTGGTTGTTCGAATCATCTCCATAATCATAATTGAAGTATTAATTTAACTGTAGAGTATGTAAATTAATCATTTTGGATAAAAGCAAACGCACTTGACATAAATCCAATGTATCATCGATTATGAGCGAAGTAATTTGATGCCAAGATGGAATAGTTTGTAAGTCAGAGAGGAATTCTTCTTTGACTTGAGATCGACTACCAGCCATACTAAGCTCATTGATGTACACCAAACGATTGTTCAAAGTCGGAACAGTAGATGACCAGCGACTTTGTCTAGACTTAGAAAAACACCTCTTTTTCATAAGAAAAAAAAAAAGAATTTTTATATACACTCGAACAGTGTTTTTGTTTAAATAGCTATAAACACATAAAGATTTGTCAATTGTTGGTACCGTTGACGCTCTAATAGAATAACTGTCAGCATATAAAGATAATTCTAGTTCGATTGGTACTCGTCCTTTCAGTTGTCGAAACGTATCTAACAAGATGACACTTGTGTTCAATAGTGATATCGCAGTTTCTACACGTCATCTAACATTCAACCGATATGAACATTAGTGGCAAAGCATAGATAGTAACTTGCGAACAACATAGGATCCAGTTACCATCCCCACCAATATGAAGTTCGTTAGTGAAAATAAAACATCACGGTTAAACAATCGATCAGGTATTTCCATAGCATGAATACTATATTTCCATGTTATCTTTGGACGGCATAGATTGGGAACCAGACGTTTATCAATACTAGAGACTCGACTAAAATAGATTAAAAAAACACAACATTTTTCAATAATCATAAATACATGATATATTATTTCACATTTTACTGAAACATACGCTATTCCACTATTCATCTATACCATATCATATAGCATCAGTGTTCAGTTTACGTACAATATTTTATATTCAAAATAGTTTTCTCTTGATGATGTAGAAACTATGGAGATTTTTCTAAAAAACTTTACACCCAACAATTTTCTATCTCATTATGATATGTATAAGATTCATGAAAGAACGAACTTGCTAGTAAACTCAATTCTTTTCATCATCTAATTGTGTGTATTCACATTTATTTGGAAGGTGTTCTTTCTTTCCAATCAACAATATTTTCTATATGACTCTTTTTCACACCACCTATGTACATCTTCATAGACATTCTCAATCCATTTAAATATTTACTCTCAAATATCCGTGGGCATGAAAATTACTCAACATTGTAGGCTTGTTATAACAAGATGATATGTCGCATCAAAAAAACGGTTTTTTTTCTTGTGTAAGCTGGCACTACAAGTCAATGATAGCTATTTTAAAAAAAACAACTTTTTTATCGAGACTACGCAAAAATATTTGAATATTAAGTTCGTTTTGCATGATTACCTTCCAAGAGTAAAGAGTTAATGACGAATAGATTTTTTTTTCAATGTAATGTCTTTTATCGTACAGTATTTTCTTCTTTCTATAGAATCTTTTATCTTTTTCAAAATCCCTCATCTTTGGCTACTTCATAAATTTTTTTGGAAGGAGAATGATTCGATATTGCAATTTATTTACCAGTGTTCTGACATTTCCTTAAGAGATAATCGATTTTTATTTGGAAATAACTTTAAAGTTTTTTTATATTTAGTTATATATCTATTCTAATTATATTTCGAGTTTGAAATTGATGTCAATGGATGCACTTAAGACGAAAAAAAAGAGACGAGTTTTTCTTTTAAACATCTATCGAGAAGTATGACGATCATCAAATCGAATATTAAATAGACAAACTTAGCTCTACTTTTGCTATGATTAGAAAGGATTGATCATGTTTTGCTAATGAAAAATACAGTAAACTATGTCTTCATCTCATCAGAAACAAAAGATATTGCTCATTTCTTATTACATTTATCAATCTACAGGTGCAGGCAGAATTTCATATATTTAGCTAGTTTCAATAAATCTTCTCTTATTCATTGAGTTCTTTAAAAATCTGTGAAAGAATTTATTTTCAACTCCTCAACTTTTTCAAATTTCCATCTTACTATTAAACACTTTATGATCAATTAAAATATGAATTAGTGAAAAAAGATATTATCAATTCAGAACTGATTCACTTGAAACGATAATATGACTGAATGCATTTAAATATTTCATATTTACTCTTAGTTCAAGAAAAGACACTTACTTTTTATCACCATTTATTAGTGAATATCTATCAGGTAGCCAAGGAGTATTCAGGTCAAAGCTGAGCTCTTGCAATTGTGGATGATGTGCAAGTAAATGTGATAGAACGGCTAATGAACATTCTCGACGTACAATTGATTGTAAGTTCAAAAGTCTTGTTTCAATTGACACGAAAACTTTATTAAGTGGTAGAACTATTTGACTATCTAGAGTCTATTCAAATGAAGAACGTTTAATGCCAATTAAAGATAAATATGATGCTAACCATAATCCATTATCAATAGCTAATGTATCTGATACACATAATGAAATAAGAAGATTACATACGTTCAATTGTGATAATTGTGTGTAGTAGAATTCTGTTATCGCTATACTCATTTCATTTAGACCCAAGTAAGCAGGCATAAATGGCATGTTATTAACAATAGCAGCAAATCGTGAATTGAGATGAGAAAAAATATTGAATACTTCATGAAAGTGGAAATAAATAAATAGTTCATAGAACAACTCGAAAGAGAGGTGCTCGAATGTTGTTGTTGTTGTCATATTTTGTCTTATAATATCAAGCTATTGAATGTTGTGTATGATTTTTATTTAATAGCTTCATAAACAATAATACAAAGCGTTATTGTCCTTCTTAAAGACCGTCACCGCGATAAAATGATGGTGTTATTACTATTGGTCAACTTCATTCGTCAACGTATACACAATTTATGCTATCTTTTGTTTGAATCATTTTTCTCTCAATAACATTTATAAGAATTGAAAATGAATTTTTTTACGATAATTAGCAATTATCCTTTTTGCTCACATGAAACTCATCTGTTTGACATATTTGATAGTTTTTTTTTTGACATAAAACTAAATGACAATTATGAATAATAATTTAAGTGATCGTTATTTTTTACAACATACATCGTCCTTTCAGTTTATATGACCATGTTTTTGAATGTCTGAAATGACAAAAAATATAAGACATTAAAATTCTAATACTCTTCAATGAACTCTGAACATCACTTAGATAGACAGCATTTTGATCAAAAAGAACATTCATTACAGCAAAGCAAATAATCAAAGCTGTGTCTTTGATTCGATATAATATGAGATAATAAATGTTTCAGATTTAATTGTCTGTTTTTCGAGTTAGATTACATCAAAATAATTCATTCTGATATCAAGAGATAGAAAATTTTGCGTAAATTTCATTTATGTTCTTTTTACAATTAATATTTGACTTTTTTATGCTCCATTAAATTCGAAATACTATGTTCATTAAAATATCAATTCGTCAAAATCAAAATTTGATAACATTGAATTTTAATTTTCCATTCAATTAGATTAGATTTTAAATAGTTAAAGAAATACGAGTTTTTGATATATTATTTCAATATAAAATGCACAGATCGCTAATTCTTTTTTTGCTTTATGACTAATAAGTGTTATCATCTTTTTTGATAATGTATCTTTCATNTCTGAAAAATCAGAAATTAATCGGAAAGAGCAACATTCTGCAAATTAGTGGATCATATGCTAAAATGTGGGCATCGAAAGCTCTGCTGTGTTTCTGTTCAGAGGCTTAAACATTATTTTCAAAAGTGTTTCACTACAAACAAAGACAATATTGTAAATATATCGTATAATTAATACAAAAACATCGACAAAAAATACCTAACGTTAAACTTTTTTTAAATTCAAAATTCGTTGACAAAAACGAACAAAACGAATAATCGCCTATATTCTGCGTAGATTAAGAAATGCAACGAAAAAAAGGGTTATGTGCCATTATCTCTGTATTATTCATATTTCTTATCTTTTCTAATTCGTTCTAACAAGTTTGTTTAAGATAACATATGCTAATAAAAACCTTCTCAAGAATAACTGCCATTAATTTTTATTTTAAGTTAAGCCTTATCTTGGTTCTATTTTGATCGGATTATGATAATCTGCCTATAAATGCTGCATACGACTGAATATCGATGCGGCGTCAGAATCCAAACGAGGAATAGAAAAGTTGATTAATAGAGAAGAATGATGAAACACTATTGATCTATTATAGTAATGGGTTATAATCGTACCTAATTTCAGTGACAAAGCAGCGATCTAAAAATATACCGAATTCAGAAAAAATCAAAAGATCAGAAAAAAATCAGAAGCATGTTCAAAATTCAGAAATTTTCCCTAATTTTCAGGCGATCTGGTTGCCCTGGCGGAAGTCGATTAGTGATTCGCTCCCCTATCTCGTTTATCTAGAAAATTGAGCCTACCCTAGAGAGAAATCGTTCCGCCGCCTATGTTAATGATTGAATCGATGTTAACACACTGAGAAAAAAACAAATATAAGATCATAATTAAAAACAAATAAATGAAATTCTACATTTCATTTTGTTCTTGTTTGAGACTTAAATTAAGAACACTATGTATTTGTATATGGTAACGACGATTTTCATTATATTTAAGTAGAAATAAAAACTACATGAATTGTAATATATTCTTTCGATGTGTCTTAACGTTATAATATGAACAGCTGATTATTAATATGATCTAACTTAATCTCGTACTGATTCTTGACTAAAACTTAATTTAACTTATTTATATTGATGATATTAGAGATTTTGATATCAAGATATAACTTCTAGTATTATTATTATTATTATAGGTACATCAAATTCGCTTAGATTTCTCACTATTATGGTTCCACGGTGTTCATTGGAATTGCTTGTTTTCTAATTATGATCTCGTATTTGTTTTTTCTATTCTTTTAAAATCATTCAAATTTAACGTTCGTAATCTTTCTATCTCGAAGATCAACATTTTTTTTTCTTCTCTTGTCTCTTTGTCTCATATGAACAATATGTAAACAAAAATAAAATTTCTACAGTTCACATTTTTATTTTATAAGACTAAGTGAAACAAGATGTGCTATATACTCCACTTGATGTTTGTTAAATCAGTTAAGGATGTCATTCTGATTTAGCTGTCAATGAATCGAGTAATTCAAATCATTAACGTGAATTTTCTCTACGAAAAAAGAATCAAGTACTCGCACAATGAATGGATAAGCAACAATAGTATCGATGTTCATTACTATTTTCATGATAGAATAGTTTTATGTTGTTGAAAGAGTCTAACATATAGTATCATGTGTTTAATAGTGTTCTATATAAAACTTCTTTCGTGTTCGAAATTTGAATATATTCAATCATTGCCTCATCAATAATGCTTTCTTTGTTTAATCATGTGGCGCTATCGTTTTTAAGATCTAAAATATCGGTATATTTATGTCTGCCGCCAATCATAAGATAAAATAACGGTTCAATCGAGAAGAAATAAACAGTTAATATAACTTTTTAATCTTTTTTCACGACTGTTTTTCAGTCATTCGAATGCATAAGAACAAGTCTAGTTTTGAAATATAATACTGAGGTTTTTAGGTCATGTAACGATCTCATTCGATTCAATGTATCATACTTCAACAACATCATCGTTTCGAGCAATTTTATCATCTAGTAGTATTTATAAGACCTAAACCAAAAATTAAGGTTTCTTTTGGTTTTTGATAGCTATCAAAACACATATATATGTGATGGTAAAATTTAACTTTTAACATTTCTAAAATAATGTTCTATTCAGAATTATATAAAAAATTGAAAGAAGCCCATTATATAAAAACAATTGTTCATATTTCAAGCAGAAAATCGTGTACACTATGTTTTTAATGAGAGGTGTCACAGTTTCATATTGAATTTAGCTTAATCGAACTTTCAGATTTTAATGACAATCGAATTTAAAATTAGCTACTCGAACTATCAAATAAAAATCATATTGATGAGTATTTATTTATATGAAGTTTCAATGTAGTTCAGAACATTCGCTTCTATACAATGATACATAGTAGAAAAGCAGAAAGAAAAATCAGAATAGTTGAAATTACACAATAACTAGACTAACATGTACATTTTTCGTACGCAAATCATGTTCAATATACGTTACGGTAAAAGTAGATATCAATAAAATTCACAAGAAATCTGAACGCTCTTATTCTCATACCATAGAGTAAAATCAAAATTGATTTCCTTCTTTCAGAATATGTAATCTCAGAGTACTTTCAAAAAACAATGACTGGTGTAATTTCATTCAAATAATATTCTTCTACCGAATTATCTGATTCTTTGATTGGAGTGTGCTGCCCAGGTCGATGATTCCGGAGACCGGAAATAATCGGATTTCACTGGAACCGGCAGGAAAGATGCGGAAAAGTCACCGAATCCGGCAGGAAAACACCGGAAATCGCTGAAACGTGGAAGCAGTATTCCGGCGTGAAATTCTCGGATTTTTTCCGATGATTTACGGCCGGTTCCTGCGAGAAAGAACAGGAAATTGGCCGGAATCCACAGGAATAAAATTCTGGAATTTCCCGCCAGAATACTGCTTCCACGTTCCAGTGATTTCCGGTGTTTTCCTGCCGGAACCGGATCGTACTTCTTGACCTGAGTGTATATGATTTAAAATGCTTGTCTTTGCGAAGAAGATTGTAATTTCTCAGAGACGAGTTAGAAACAACCTATGCTCATGCTTTTCGAATACATCTGCATGCGCCCATGAGTTCAAAAAGTGATCAATCGCGTCTTTATCTTTACAACTGTGAGACGCGTTTCTGCTGTAGATGCGTCCAGACGCAGGTATTAATTTAAACGCATCTAGACACGTATTTGAAACGTGAGTGAACGCCACCGCTACTTCGGACGTGTTTAAGAGCGTTTTAACCTCATGCAAATATGAAACGCGCTTGTCTTACCCAGGCGTCTAGACGCGGTTATTGATTCGAACGCATCCAGATGCGTTTTGAAGACGCAAGTGAACGCGTGTCATTAATGTTTTGCAACATAATCGCGTCTAGACGCATTTAAAACGCACTTGAACGCATGTGATATGTGTTTGAGTTTCACATGGGCTTTATATCCCCGACCCTCAATGCCATGTTGCAAAAGCATTCTATTTGATGAATATCATGACTTGACAATCTCATGAGGGTGGTTGTGGGTTTGAGATTAGACTTGAATTCGATTTGCATTTTGAATCCATGAATTGAATTTAACTGCTAATGATTGAAATCTCAAAGATTGGGTAAAATAAAGTGCCAAAAACAATGATATATTTTACTAGAGATAGCGATGCACTACAACCCAACAATGATTGAACAGATTGCGACTAAATCCTTAGTATTTGGATTTGACTTTGATTCCAAGCTTTGAAATTATTGACTCGTGATACATCGATAGTAAAGTATATTGTTGTTCCTGACACTTTATGTTACCAAAAGTTTGAGATTTGAATCATTAGAGATGAAATCCGGCGGTTATGTTTGTTAAATCCCACATTTAAAGTGGCAATCAAAGTCAGAATAGACAATCTTATTTAGAATTTTAGGAGAACATTTCAAGTTCTGATTCACAAAAAATTAATTAATCAGCTCCGAGTTCAAAAACGCTTGAATCCAATAGACTCTACTTATACTCAAACCCTAAACACGTTTACTATGTCATATTACAAATGATACCTTCAACAGAAGAATTTACCTTTATTGAACAGTGTTTCTCGAAATATAAATCATTGAATAGTTACGTACAATAGCTTATTATTTTCTTGTTTGTAGATTTTTTATAGTCCTTCTGACGTCAAAACGAAATAAAAAAACAAAGGTTTTTGTTCAACATTCAAGAGCGTTATCAATAAATAAGACTACGCAACTCTAGCACTGTTGCATTGTGAACCATTCTTGGTTCTTGTTCAAGCAAAGAAAATTATTTTACAATAAGGTTAGTCATGTTTTTCTTGTGCGTTTGCTTTTTTGTTTGTGCCATTTCTTTAATTTGCTGCTGGATCTTCTTGAAATCATATTATAGTGATATCAAAGTCGAAAAAGATTCCTGTAAGAAACGAAATAATTTTAATCGGAAACAGGAAGTAGAAAAGCTTGATCCAAGTCATGAAGTAGATAACCATCATCATAGCTATGAAGTAGATAAGAGATTTCATTCACTAGTACCAAGCGAAATAAAGAATGTTGCAGGGTGTGGGTGGATGTGTGGGTGTGGTGTGGGTAGGTATGAGTCTGGGTGTAGGTGTGGGCTAATGGCAAGACAAGATTTAGAACAACATCCACACCTACACCCGACACTCCACACCACACACCCACACTCCCACCCACACATCCACTCACGCCCACACCCTACCCACACCCATAACCTTCTACTGTTTCATCAAGATGATTTAGTAAATCTTTTGTACAAGAGATTTATAAATTACGATTATGCTGATATAGAAATTTAATTAAATTTCTTTTTAAAAGAAAAGCATTCTGAATGATCTCGATAATGTTCTATACTTATGAAGTATTCAAGATTGGAATAAACGCAGTTCATATTGATTCAAATCTATGATTGAAAAATTTAATATGTGATCAAATTTATCATTAAAGCTTATTAAAACTTTAAAAAATAAATTCAAAATATTCTCAAATGAACTTGAATATAGTTGATGATAAAATTGAAGTTTGTATCATTGAGATCTTATTTAAATAGTTAAAACATTCTTATGATTTATTTAATTGTGACAATATGAAAGTCTTGGTAATTTGATTTCAGAAATCTTTTCTGAAATTGAAATGGATTTTATTATTGACTATCAATCAGTTCCAGTTAACTTTTATCACAAATTGAATATTTATAATAGATATATCAACTGAAAAAATAATTTACTTTTTTTGATTTTAAGTGTCTCGACTAAATGTTGCACATCATATTCTGTGATTCCACTTTGAAGAGATAGTTCAGTAAGTATTTATATGTAAAAATAAAGATTTAAATGAGACTGATAAATTAATTAAAACAAATTCATTCTTCTTCTTTTCTCGGATTAATTATCAATAGAAATGTCAAACAATTAAAAACAATCAGACTAACAAAAGCTGAAAACACCAAAAAATCTACAGTTGAATCTAAATAAATAAACTTTTTATGATGTACTCGCTGTACACTAACTCCTGTGATGACAAACTCGTTGAATAAACATGAAATAAATTCTAATTTTTTAGTGTATTACTTGCAAATCAAATAGTTACTATTGCAGTAGTTCAGATGTTGTAGTTGAATGATCATTGGTTGATCGATTCGAGAATCCAACACGAAGGACTAGATAGAATTCGTTCTTCTCTTTCTTGCTTCAGACTTCTTACTGTGTACTTGTTTCGACGGGTAGCATACGTATTGTATTCAATCACAAATATCAGATCGAAAAAACATAACTTGTGCAGTGCTTTCCATCAATGACAGATCACAACTGTTAAATCGACGCATACATCTAAATCATTCTTTTTTTGGAAAATACGAAAGACAGAAGCAACGATAAGATGATTGTACATTGAGGATGTAGGTGGGTAAAGACAATATCCCCATCTACACTTCCCGTTTCAATTGTCTTCCAAATAATTCATTGGCCGAATCCAGCTCGTCAAGGTCTGAAGACGATCGTAACTAAAGGTATGGATGTGGATCTTCTCTACATCCATACCCACACTCACACACCATTCACATTGATTTATTCGAAGATCTTTGATTTGAGTAAACATTGAAATAAGATGAACAAGTCATTTTGCACATGCTTTATTTCGAATAATTGAGTGATCAATTTTGCTGCAAAAGATTTTATTTTTTTTAATAATTTCAACGTAAAAGAAAAGAAATTTATTTTAAGTCACTACTCTGCCAAATTAAAAAGATGAAGTTTTTAGTACCTATTGTTTAAATCATTTATTTCTTTAAAATATTCTCGAAGAGAAAAACATGACAAACTGGAAATGAATTCATTTATCATTGAAAACGATTACGACAACAAATTCAAAAGATATATTTGTTCAACTTAGTATAAAACTGTTATTTAAATATTGAAATAAAAGCTTTTTTAATTTCTTGATAAAGCATGATTCATTAATCTCTATAAAAACATTCGATTTGAATGTGAGCGTGGCTGTTGCTAAATAAATTTTTCTCACACCCACATCCATTCGCTAGTAAGATAAAGTGAATACAATATTGAGGAGAATTCCGTATGCAGCGGAGCATTGTTACCACATATCTCCAGAAGAAAACCATATGAGCGCATAGTGAGAGAAAACTTTCACATGACTCAATTGGGTTTTCATCCATAAATTGTCTATTGATCTAGCTTGATTTGAAACTATTTATTACATAAAGTATTCAACAGTATTGCACTCAATATCTTCTCTCTGTTACAGGCTTACTAGGGTTCTTGATAAAAACTTCAGAGAACTTGGCCAGATCAGTATTTGATACTCGAATGTAAATTCCAAACACGATTACCTGAACGTAAAAATTTCTATATTTTGTGAGAATCCACACGATTAACAGTGGACTGAGAAAAGAAACATAGGTTCATCTGTCATATTGTAGAAAGGTATTCGTATCGTCGAAATCTGTCGCTATAGTGTTTCGGAAACAAGAAAGCTCACTGGTGTTGACTTTTATATTCAATACATCAACGATTTCACTCGGCTCATGATTGCTGATATTCAAATTAGGTGATCACGACAGGTTCGAATGCAGAACGATTAATGTTTTCGTAAAATAATTTATATTCATATTGTCGAGCACATACCAGCAAGTGAAAGAAAGATATTAAATATTGAGTCATAAAATACAAAAGAAAAAACAGAGACGCAATTCAACTTGGAAAGAGGAGCATGTTCTTTCAAATTGACTCCGCTTGTTTTGTTCGCTCACAGCCATATAGGAGAAAGAAAAAAAATAGGACGAGCCAAGATACCTTAAGGAGCAAAAGGGATTGAGACGATAAACTGGTGTAATTTCGATTTCTTGTGGATCTATGTTTCTTATTCAGCATATTTTAAAAGCAACAACCGGAATTCAGAATTGATGACAAGTACAACCAGTAGTCTTGATGGAGCTGCTGTTGCAACCACGACGCTGAAGTTAAAATCAAGGTTACACCAAATGAATGATGAATATGACTCGAGTGACGACGACGATGACATCAAGGAAGACCAGACTACACTTCTATGGTGTGATGGTCATATGGATGAAGAATCATTTAACAATGACATTCTATATACTAAGACAATGTTACACGACATAAGTAATTCGGTATTCTACTGCTCGAGTGAAATAGAATGCATAACGTATTTAACTACATTATTAAAAAGTAAAACAATTATTTTGATTATTTCCGGTGCTCTTGCATCTAGAACATTGGTAGAATGCCGCAAAGACAATTCGTCGTCTTGATACAATTTTCATTTTTTGTATGGAAAAACAGAAATATGAATTCCTTCTACAATATTCAAAAGTGGCGGGTATTCATGATAAACAAGAAAGTTTAAAATATAGTATTTTGAAAACGGTTCGAGCTATCGAACGACAAACAGCCATTTTACAAATGTACGATCCAATTAAACAACGATTAGCACGTAATTTAGATCGTGAAACTGGATCATTCATTTGGCTTCAATTAATTAAAGAAGCCATACAAAAAATGTCTGCACGAATAACAGATTCGAATGGAAAACAAACAATGTTACATCAATGTCGAGAATACTATCGAAATAATGAAAAAGAACTAAAGAATATTGATGAATTCGAACGAACATATAGTGCAGATCAAGCAATCACATGGTATACAAGAGATAGTTTTATTTATAAAATGATCAATAAAGCTCTTCGTACGGAAGATGTCGAAGTATTGTACACATTTCGTTTTTATATTATGGATCTCTGTGCATATCTTGTTGAAAACAGTGAATTACTAAGACAATATACAATGACAACATCTCTCACAGTCTATCGTGGTACGAAACATTCTTATGAAGAAATTAAATGTTTGAAAGATAGCATTGGGCAACTTATATGTGCTAATGCATTCTTATCGGCTAGTCGTCTGAAAGAAGTGGCCGAAGTTTACGCTGGTCTCGGCAATGATAATAAGTCAAACAATGATTTGGAGTCTGTTATTTTCGAAATTGAAATTGATTTAAATACAGAGCCTCATGTTGTTGTTGCTGATGTATCTTGTTTTAGCTATTTCAAAGATGAAGAAGAAGCTCTATTCGATTTAGCAACTGTATTCGAAGTTCAATCGATGTATTATGATGATCAAGTCAAATTATGGACATGTCATATGAAAACATCAAACAAAGGGTATGCTATAGCACATGAATATATTGAACTCGAACGTACGGAAATGAATAAAGACGATGGAGGCATTTTCTTCGGTAGTCTTCTCTTTAAAATGGGTGAATATAAAAAATCGATCATTTATTTTAATCATCTGAGAGAATTAAGGCCAGATGATACCTACATACTGTTCATGTTGGGCAAAATTCATGGTGTCCTCGATGAAAACAAACAAGCACTTTACTACTATGAACGGGCCTATTGTCTTTCAATGGAAAAAGATCCACCTGATTTAGCACATGCTGCTTTAGTTAACATCTATGCTGGTCTTGTCTATTATTATGAATGTAATTATGACAAAGGTCTTTCAAGTTATGCGGATTCTATTCATAAATACGGCATTTTAAAAATGACTGAACAGATACCATTCGCCCATACTCTCATAGGACTTGGCTATGTTCATCTAGTTCTCGGTTTAGATAAGTCGGCACTCGAACATTTTCAACGTGCATTGCAAATAATTCAACGACAAGCACCGTTCGATCTTCCGAATTTGTGTCGTGCTTATCGACATGTAGCAGCTGGATTCTGTCGAATAGGTAATTATGATCAAGCATTGAATATGATGAAAATATCATTCGAAATCGGAGAACAAATTTTTATTCGAAAAAGTCTTGCATTTGGTGTTATTTTCGAAGTATTCGGTAGAATTCTCTATAAGAAAGGCAAATACGAACAAGCACTTACACACTATCTAGATGCTCTCGGCATTGATCGATGTACGATTTCGCAAGAAAATAGTCTTGCTACGGTTTTACTTTATAATTATATTGGCAAGATTTTTTATCGAAAAAATAAGTATAATGAAGCTAGTGAGCAATACGATAAAGCATTAGCAATATTAACAGCAATACTTACAACTGATCATATTAAAACTGCTTATACATTAAGAAATAAAAGTGAAGTACTCTTGGCTCAATGTGATTTTAATAATGCTGAAGATTGCCTAAATCGATCACGTAAGTCGAATGTGTTTTGATTGTCAATTAGAAGTCACGATTCATCTGAAATAAATAGATTTAGGTCTTAAAAAGTCGAACTTCTACCATGAGAAGTTCATATGACTTGCATTCAGCAAAACACGGTGCGAAAATTGATAAGTATTCATTTACAAATTAGTTGTGATGTTCTGTTGAGAGAGCAACTTCGTGCATTGAAAAATAAAGGAGCGAAAACAGTTAGGCAAGCACAAATAACAAAAATCTTTCTTCCGATCACCATGCTCGTTTTATCGACACCAAGGATAAATCTTGTTTTGTCTTTCTATCACAGTGACCCACTTATTACATTTCTCTTGCTTCGTCGGAAAAATTTGACCATATACGATACTAGTTCGCTCTCATACACATTATTTATTCTATTTGACTGGGCGAATATCAAGTTCTTTTACTAATTCGAGCTGGATCAGACTACGGCAAACCTATTCGGCATATCTTTATCAATTTGAGAAGGTGATTCAAACACAACGTGAAACACTCACCGAGCATCATAAACATGAAGAGAAAGATCTGACTGAATTTCTTTAAGGATTGTTCGTTCTCAAAATCAATGTTTATGCATACTGCCCTGATTTTGATCTTGCTGATAATGCTCTTAATTGGCTGAAACATAGATTTCATTACTATTCTCTTCAAAAATTTCATATAAGTTGATGATTTCTCGTTTCCCTGATTCTAATTTTTACCAAGATATTTTTCACTATTTTGCTTTTCGCCGATTTGCAATGCTAAAGGTTTGCGTGCTCACTGTGTTGTTAGTTATAAAGCAATGAACAAGTTCTTTTCTTCATAGTTCAAATGTATGAACGAATTTTTGTTCGTCGCGAACATCGAGACAAAGCCAAATGCAATTTTTTAATGGGTCGTCTCTGTCTGGCACGTGGTGATGAAGATAAAGCACTGTATCATTTTCAGACAGCCTATGGAGCATAGTCAAGAACACTAATAGCGCAACATCCAGAACGAAACATGTGTCTAGAAGCTATTGGTAAACTTCATTGGAGACAAATTCGTTGCTGGATGAAAAAGAGAAAGATTCAGAGTAATTGATCTATTTTTGTTGATGATTGAAAACATTTTGCATAATTCTATATATTTTATTGGAATAATGTATTATTTTTGAATAAATCCTAGCATTACACTGCATGAATTCAAGTCGAATAATTTCAGTTGAGTTAATCAAATAACATGCTTAGAACTGTCAGAGAGATGCAATCAGATTACTCACAGCATTCAGTATTTCCTACTTATGGTATGTTCAACATTTCGATTTTGAATAAGCCTGATACGTTTGAATATTTGGAACTTACTATCTATTTAAATTTTTAGAATCAGCTCTTCTGCAAAACGAAGTGGTATGCCCAGAAATTTTCTAAGAGGAAGAGAGCAACTTTGTAAGTGAAGGGCTTATCATGAGCAATATATTGTTGGATAAAGAAAATCTGGAGCGCCAAGTTCTCTTTTAGTGTATCACTTCTACGTCTATACTTTAGTTTAGTTGCACTCAAGTAAAACAACTTCAACTAGAGTCACTCGGAAGATCGTTTCGCTGTATAAAAATGCAGAAAATCATATGAAATCCATAAGACAATGATAGACTTCTGATCATAAACAGTCATGACAAGCATCTTTTTTTTCGCATATAGTAACATTACCATGAAGCCTAGAAAAATTCATTTTCCGATGATTTCTCATACATCGGTTGTAGATAAAGTCTTCTTGAAAATATAACGTTAACAAATCAAAAAACCAATCTTATTACTCAGATAATCTTAACATTAGTCCAATTCTGATGAAGGTAAAAAATCCTTCTAATCTTTCTCAAAACGTTTTTTGAGTCGTGCATCTTGAACAATATCATTTTCATCTGACTGAATATGATCACTCATGTATTGTCTTATTTCAATGAAAAAACAAAGAAGAATCGAACAAACAATTTCAAAACAATGTTCTATTTTTTCTGTGATACTTTATCATTCTTCAATTAATATAATAATAATAAAATTTCAAAAAGCCCTGTTTGGCGATCATGTGTGACGATTGCATTAGTGCATATTGTCTTTGATATGTATATACATTATTTAGAAAATCGGAGTTTAATATTGCTTTTGCAGAATTCACCTATATTTTCGAAGAAAACCATAGCAAGTATAAGTTTAATCCGAGGTTTGCTATGGCTTCTCTCACGTTCCTAGGTCCTAGCAACGGAAGCGGAGCTAAAGCTTATTGGATATATTTTCCTGTCAACGGGAAAAGGCTCGTAAGTAATATTAATACTCAGATCATTCTGGAACTCTGTAGATGCTAATTACTCTAAATATAACGAGCACTGGTTTTTAATGCAGTGAAAGGAATTTATTGTAGCAGATAATCATTAGGAGCGTTATATTTTTCTAGTAGAGTCAGAATAGGACGACGAAAGAAAACTATGAACTAAATGAATTCTAAGTTTAGGTGAAACTCAACACTATATGTCAAAGTTCGTCGTGAGAAGGATGGTGTGCGTGGTAGCTTACTCAACGATTTAATGAATGTGTATTGCAAGCTAATATGATAGTTGAACCGAGGAAGCGATAAATAAAATTATATTTGCCACTTTCTATGGCATGTATAGTATATTAGCGGTCTAGTAGTGCCTCTGTTGTTGCTGTAAACAGTTAACGAAAATCTTAATTACCACTGCGACATAAAAGTAGATATGATACTTTTGAAAACAGTCCACACCTAAGATCAGTTTTGAGAGATATTTTTGTCTTGTTTGTGATCACTTCGTTTTCTATCATCATTTTCTCCTTTTTTCATTTCAAAATTTCTTGGAGTTAAAAAAAGGTTTTTTTTTTAATATCGAACACTTCCAGTTATCGCCGTCAATTAGTGCATCAGTTTACACTGTTATCTGCAAATAGTTCTGATATATAGGATTGCTATCATACATTTGTTTTTATGTTCGGTGATCAAATTAAATCTGTATAATTCAGTCAAATTATGAAATACGTCATTGTGAAGAATGTTTATATCAATGAGAAAATAATATTATCACATTTTGTAAAAAATTCGTACAATGATTATGTTTTTTGATTTGTAAAATATTAAAGAAATTTTCAAAAATAATTTTGAATCAAATAATAAAAAGAAAGATGTATTTTTTCTATGATTATTCAAGACTTATTTTATACTTATTGATAAGAGCATCCTTGACGAATCATTGATTGTAGTAAAAAATTAATCTTATATTCTAGAAATTTTATTTTGCACATCACTATTTTTCCTATCAAAAAATAAACATTTTTCAAGTTCAATATTAATAAATTGTTTGAAGAAAAAACCAGTGTGATAACATAAAATGAATATTATTCAATGAGATTTCAAACATTTGTTTTTCTTAACATGATAGTAAAACAAACATAATTGAAATACAACAACTCTAATATCACTTCCCACGTGTAAGAAAAATAATACGTCTTCAATTAAAACAATGAGAGAATCATTAATAAACTAATATAACATTTAAATGATGTTCTTTTAATCATGGGTATACCGACATGTAAAACTATAAAAATATACGCATTCATACAAATATTTCAATTTCTATAGATAATTTTCATTTCATAGTTCTACAAAAAAAAGAATACAAACACGATAATAATCGTTATCATACGAATAATTTATCATTATCTTATGAGATATAATTTCTTTTCCTGGATCAAATGAATCATTGTTTTAATCTAAAATCTTTCTTTGATGTAGATGATAAATAAAATAAATCAGATCCATTTGAAATTACGAAGTAATCATATTATACTTTTACTCTTATTGAAAACAAAACGATTTTGTTCTTGTCTCTATCTTTACAGAGTATTTATAACTTGACTTCATTCAATGATCAAGAGGGTTGTGTCATTCAAGCAAGAAAATTAAGTTGTATGAGATTATATATATAATATTCCAAAACTAAATGATGTATATCACAAGATAGAACATGATGTACTATTTGTATACAGAAATATTTCTAGTTTCTCAATTCCAATATTTTCCTTCTAGAATTATTTAGTACATGTCTACATCTACTTTGTTTTTAAAAAACACAATATTTTGATGAAGTAATAGTTGATGACTGAAGTTTTTAGGGCTATAGAATAAATAAGAGTTTATTAATTACTGTTGGAGCATATAATAAGAATACGTGTTTTTTTCTCGATGATGTCATGAAGTGAATGAAGAATGGCAAATAAGAAAATAAGGAATAGAAAAAGTTGAGAGAAATGCAACGAAGAAGATGTTGTTGGTTTTGCTATTATTTCTTTTTCTCGTCTTCTTCGAACAACTAAATTAATCTAAAACATAATTTAAATCTTTTCATTTTGGTTTCCTTGGTTGATTCTCATTTTTGAACAACACGAGAAAAGAAAGTATTTTAATTGCCTGTTATGATGTCACCTGACGTTCTCCATAAGTTTCCAATTCTGATGATTATCAAACAATGCTCAGATAAATAATTCATAAGTTTTTCATCACTATGTACAGAGAACAGTTCCATTGTTACTGTGTGTTCTTCAATCAGAAATGTGTTTTTATCAGTAATTTGCTTCCCTTTCGAGAATGAATCAAAGCCAGGCTGATTGACAAGTAATACAGTGAAACTCGCAGTTTTTAGGTCTGCGAGTGCAGAAAGAGATGATCTGCACTCATACTCTTCTCGAAAAATATCAATTTACTTCGTAGTTTATAAAAGTCTTCTCAATTTGATCCTGAGGTTTACTCATCCTTCAATGATTGTGAATGGTCTTAATTTGAGTCATTTGATCTATGTGGTCGCGATTGGAACTTAATCATTTTGGATCTAATCACTCATTCGTCCCTAGTCATCAGTGTTTTAGCAAATGGTTCACGTTAATGGATATTCGATCGAGCGCATCTTTATTGGTAGTATTTTTCTCCATCGTGATAATCAAGTCATTGATATTATTGATGGTTTTAAGAATTGATTACATTGTCATTAGGAGTGTCTCTTTTTCAATAGCATAAGAGTCAGTCATATTCATAGTTCCAATCCCAAACTATGGTTTCTCTAAGATTATTGTATAAATTTGGGAATCGTTGACTCTACTCGATCCATAATCTGTGCTATGAATATTACTTTAAAGTCTTCTACAAATCTTTGGTGAAAGATCTTTGTTCGATTTATGACTATCATCGCTTTATTTCATTTACATGTAACGACAATTCGTGTCAAAAGAATCCATATGATGTAATGAAAAGAAAAGAAAGTTTTCAGCATTGCTATTTTTACAACGAGTACGAGAGATACTGCTTTCTTTCCTTGAAGTGATAGGCAGTAACTACATGATTCGTACGATTTTTCGAATGCATATATACGCCTATTTATTATTATTAATTACCTTAGTAAATGGTCGTTTTTTTTCATTTCTTGCGTTCCTGTTTGATGATTTCGATAAACATGTGCATCGACCATACTATCGATATATGTCTGCACTTTTAAAAGGGCAATCAACAAATAGTTTGTATTATCGCTGTAAAACAACATAGCATCTGTCAAATTTTTTGTCGATTCCTATGGATCCAGTTCTATCAACTCCTGTTGAATTCAGTAAGGATTTGATTTGTCCAATTACACTTCAAATTTTTCGTGATCCAGTTTTGGCCGGGGATGGTCATATATACGAGCATGCCGCAATCGTACGATGGATTTCAGAACATGGTATCAGTCCGCTGACTCGAGAGCCACTGACAATCACTGATTTGCAACCTGATGGACGTTTAAGAAGCCTGGCTGCGCAACATCGAAAATCAACAGTTTCTTATAATTCGCACGATGAAATTATAATCTTTCCGCCATCACAACAGATCTCTTCCAGTATTAGGCAGATAATTCCAGTTTTTGGAGGATCCGACACACAAAATCCTAACCGATT